TTTTGCAGCAACTCGCACGCCACCCCCCCCCCTCCCAAGAAAAGTGAAGAAAGTCTACTTTGGGGGACGCGGCTCTGCCAACGCATAAGCTCCCAAAAACTTAAAAGAAAACTAAATAGACAAAGGCATACTTGCTTCCTCCAAATACTCTCCGCCGTCGCTCCGCGCCGCCTCTCTCGCCCCGCCAGTTGCCAGCTTTAATACCGCTAAAAAAACAATAAGACCGCACCCCACACCGACAGATCACCAATAACCAGACGAGAACAAGCAGCCATAGAGGTTAGCGAGAACAGGATTAGGCGCAAGCGATTCCGCAAGAGCGAGAATGATGACGTAGCTTAATTAAGTAAGGGTGCGCGACTGAGGGTAGGATAGTAAGCAAAAGAGAAGAAACGATAGATAATAGTACGTTGTTAGTCCTCACTTTATTCTCTCAACTGTCTCGGACAGGAGGGACGGGAACGGGAACAACGGTAATACAGGGGGTGGCTAGTTCTCCCCTTGGGGGCCGAGCTTGTAGTGCGGTGGTGCTTGGCGTCGCCAGCTCTCTCCGCACCGGTCGCACTCCTTCATCGTCACTCCAGCCCTGCCGCATCCATAACAGAAAGTGCCCCGGGGTTGGGGGCACTCATAGTATCGGTGCCCCCGTGAGTCACAATTCCAACATCCGGTCGGATCCGCCCTTGATGCCGCTCCTCGCGAATGTCCCTCCTCCCTCCCAGCCTGGAGGGTCTCCTGCTCTCGGGCCCATGATTCCCAGACGGGTCCCACCCGTAGCCAGGGGTCCGTCTGGGAGGCTGTCGTAGCGGCCTCCCTCTGGCGGGTCTGGGTACCCACGGTCCGCATCCCGGGGTCCGGGAAGATGGCTCTCCCCCGTCCCCTAGACCGCTCGGGCAGCTGCGTTCCCACGTCTCGGGTCTGGGGCCAGTCATATACCCGGGCACCATGGGTAGTGTACTGGCGGGCACGGCGGCGCTCGGCGTACTCTTCTAAGTCAGGCCAAAACCCCGGCTCCTCCCTCCGGAGTCGGCGGAAGAGGTGGTGGTACCTCTCGAAAAAGTCGGCGTCCTCCTGCATCCTGTCGCCGTATGGCTGGTATCGGCGGGAACGATAACGGGAATTACAAGGCCTAAAGAGTATGGTTAGAACAAAAGCGAAAGTTAGAACGAAAGGAAACGAAAGAAAAAGTTAGGGAGCGTGATAGGGTTTAAGGTCCTTCACATGCACCCTCCCCGCGGCGGTGTTGTCTAAGTTAGCGAGTTCGTACACAACCGAAGAGATAACTCTACTAACCTTGAACGGTCCCTGGAATTTCGGGGCCAACTTGGCGGCGACATTCTGAGCCGCGGACGATAACGTGTGCTGCCGTTTCAATACGAGATCCCCCTCTCGAAAAGTTCGATCGCGCCTACGCAAATTGTAATACCGGGCCTGCTTCTCGTGCGCCTGCTCTAAGTTCTCGACAACCCACAGTTTCAACGACTGCAACTGTCGCATACGCTCAGCCCACTTCGCGGGATCTCGCGGCTCCACGTCGGTTGCCCCCTCACAACGCCGTCGCAACGATTGGGTCGGCTCTAACTCCCGACCTAAATTCAGAAAGGCTGGTGAAGCACCGGTAGACGAGTGGTGTGCGGTATTATACGCGAAACGGAAATCGGCAAGGTGAACGTCCCACTCGCGGTGATCTCGATCCAAAAACGCTACGATCATGGTCTTTAGCACGCGGTTAACGCGTTCGACCGGATTAGCCTGGGGGTGGTACGGCGGGACGGTAGTGTGCGTGATCCCATGCGCGGTCGCGAACGCCCGTATAGTCTTGTTCACAAATTCCGTTCCGTTATCCGTAAGCAGGAATTTCGGTGTGCCCCAGCGCGAAATAAGAAGATCTTCGAGCGTCTCTTTTATTTTCTGACCATTCGCGGCCCTCAACGCGCGACACTCTATCCATTTGGTGAATAGGTCCTGAATCACGAGAACGTAAGCGAAACCAGATTTGCTGCGCGGTAACGGACCCATTATGTCAGCGGCAACGACAGTCCACGGGTGTTCGACTACTCTTCGCCCCATTAACCCAGCGGGACTAGCCTGTTCTACCTTTGTCCGCTGACAGATATCGCACTGGTGAATATATTCGGCGACTTCGCGAAACATATTTGGCCAAAAGTATGCGCGAGCCACGCGACGGTATGTTTTATCTACCCCGAGGTGGCCGGACTGAGGGTCGTCATGACATTCGCTCAGGACTTCCCCCCGCAATTCCTGCGGTATCACGAGCTTCCACTGCTCGAGATCGTCCACGACTCTCGAAGTCGTGGGCGTCGGTCTCAGATGATACAACCGCCCGTCCACGATCCTCCAATCCGCGGCCACTTTATTTCCCTCGGAAACGTCCCGGAAACGACTGCGGTACCACGAGTCCTCGGTATCCTCGAACGCGTCGAGGTCGATTGCGGCGGTAAGCGGGAACCCTAGATTCTCGGCTGGCGGGCCGGTGTCCTCGTACATCCGGGATAGAGCGTCGGGAACGTGATGGAGCGCGCCTTTACGGTGTACGACCTCGTAGTCGTACTCTAACAACTCTAACGCCCAACGCGCTAGTCGGCCGGTCGGATTCTTTACGTTGTGTAGCCAGCGTAGGCTACTATGGTCGGTAACGACAGTAAAACGGTACCCTTCAAGGTACGGTCGAAACTTCTGAATGGCCCAAACTACCGCTAAGCATTCCTGTTCGGTAACGGAATATTTCTTTTCCGGCTCCGAGAGCGCGCGACTTGCGAAAGCGATAACGTTTTCCTCGTCATTAACGTTCTGTATCAATACGGCTCCGATCCCCACGGAACTCGCGTCCGTTTGCAATACAAAGGGAACGGAAAAGTCGGGGCATGATAACGTAGGCGCGGAAACCAAGTGCGCGCGAATCTGCTCAAATGCTTCGCGCTGTTCGCTTCCCCACTCCCAGCGCTGATCTTTACGTAAAAGTCGCGTAAGGGGTTCGCTGGTTGACGCGAATTGCGGTATAAAGCGTCGGTACCAAGATGACATACCCAAAAATCTCCGTAATTGTTTGATATTCCGCGGAGCCGGATACTCAAGAATTGGCTGTGTTTTGCTTGGGTCGACGGTTAAGCCGTCTCTTTGCACGATGAATCCCAGGTATCGAACCTGCGAACGACAAAATTCGCATTTCTCTGGATTGATCGTGAGACCCGCAGCGAAAATCTTATTAAGGACCCGCTCCAGCCATTCCAAATGCTCCGCGAACGTGGGCGTAACGATAACAATGTCATCCAGGTACGCGAACGCGTGGGGTTCCATCTCCGGCCCGATTAATCTATCTAAGAGGCGCTGAAAAGTCGCGGGCGCTCCCGTAAGTCCGTATGGCATACGCGTGAAGTGAAAAAGCCCCATACCCGGGATGCTAAAAGCGGTAATCTCGCGGCTCTCTTTCGCCAGGGGTATTTGAAAGTACGCCTGGCTTAGGTCGAGCGTCGAGATATATCGCGCTGATCTTAATTTATCGAGAATGCCGTTCATATTCGGTAACGGATATGCATCCTTCTTGGATACGTTATTTACTTTACGGAAATCTAAACAGAAACGGTATTTTCCATTGGGCTTTTTCACCATTACGACCGGGTTCGACCATTCGCTGAAGGACGGCTCTATAATTCCCGAAACTAACATCTTATTCACCTCTTCGCGCATTGCTTCCTGCACTTTAGGCGAAA